ATCATATTATGTTATTCTATTCTATTATAATATTATCTGTTAGAAAAAACGATTTTGTATTTTATTTTATATATACTGCAGGGTGAATCACTGAACCTGCTCATCCCCTTTTTCTTCAATAATGCAATTATTCAAAGTTTAATTTTTGAATTTTTTTATATACTTACATACCATAGTTTCAAAAATCTTGTGATGATTTTGTGTAATTATAAATTAGTGTCTTATACTCTAGTGTAGATTCAAACTTCTGTTTCTAAATTAGTACCCTAATAACTTTTATATTGTAAATTATCTAGTATATACTAAACATTTTGACGCATCGGAACTAAAGTTCGTACGAGTAGTTTTTTACTTTTTGAGTTATTTAAATTTCTGTACTAAGGGTAATGTCCATGATAATGGGTTCTTAAGTTATAGGGGCTATTTTAATTTGAAATTGATTTTATTGAAATTGATTATTATTAATCCATAGACATTAATAATTTGTAAAAATAGCCTAAGTAGTAGTTAAAATAAGGTTACCTACATTCAAAAATTCCAAAAATCAGAATTTTAATAACATTTTTAGGTATTAAAGAAAAATTAAAAACATGCTTGGTGAATCGCTCTGTATAACCATATAAATACAGGATTTAATAAAAAAAAACTGAAAAAAAAAATGATACTACTTAAACCGAGTTACACATATTATGACAAAAATTGTACAAATTATTTATATAAATAATTTAAGAACTATACTAATGTCGAAAAATTCTCAAAACTAATATTTTGAAAAAAGTTATTATAGGTTCTAAATGAATTTACTCAAAAAAATATTGGTGTTTTATAAAATTCTAAAAAATAAACTACTTCACTAAGATAAAATATGTATTTACCATAAAAATTGTTCTTATAATCAGATTATCAAATTGACTATTATGAATTTTTACATAAGAACTCTAAATCAAATTTTTGGAATTAAAAAAAATGATTTATTTCTATTATACGTGTAGTGCAAGTGACTTTACATTTTATCTAAAAAAAATTTTAAATATTTATTAGGCTTAATCGATAGCTGATATAGATAGCCGATATCAGAATGTAATCATCAACCGATAAGAAAAATGTTATCCTCGCCTTACTCTATCTTTATAATACGGAACGTAATACTACACTACTGGCTAAAATATTGGAGGAAAATAGATATAATTTTAGTTTAAAATAGTGTGGAGGAAAATGGAAACCAACTTTATTTTGTGGTGGAAAATGGACAGTGGAGGAAAACGGTATCTCGTTTTTGGAGGGCAAGGAACCACCCGCAAGGTCTTCCCATTACACCTTGTATATATACAACTATAACTTTTTTTTTTCCGAATATAATCACTACATGGGAACCGAACTGTTTTCACATTGCTTAACTCTCATGTAGCATCGTTTATTTAATGAAAAATGTACACAACTGATGCCTCACAATATGTTTTTTTTAAAAATTTTTTTAACAACCGGCCACAGGAGCATAGCCAGGTCGTGCCCAAGCTACGCTCCCACTTTAACATGATTTGTTCGCTCAGAGGTTGAGTCCTCTTCTCGGACCGGCGCTCGGCGGTAGCCCGCCATCCTGTATACTCGTGCTGTTGCGCCCCTCATTCGCGAGCCGGCCGGAGCCCGTCACTCTCGTATCCCGTACTGAGCTTCACCCATTTGCCGCATTTTAATCAATGTTTTTTTTTAATCAATTGTTTGAGCGCCAGGACTCAGCTGCGCGCTTGGCGCCACAGACAGCGGACCCAGGTCTGTGAGGACCCAGCTTCAGTGCAGCCAGAAAGGTTAGGTTAGGTTAGGTTAGGTTAGGTTAGGTTAGGTTAGGCACTCCTTCTCCTTGTGGGACTTGTCCTCACATTTGCGGCAGGAGTCACTAATATCAGGGCCGGAGCATCTGCCCTGAGTGTGCCCGAAGCCATGGCACTTGAAGCACCTGATGGCTTCTGGGCGACGGATTCTGAAGCGACAGTTCGTCCAGCTGACCCTGACACGACTGACCTCTGTGGGTTTCACCGATCTGGGTACTCTGACCTTCGCAACTTGCTGACCATTTGTGAGTCTCCACATGGAGGTGACAGAGATGTCGCCGCAAGCAGCATCTACTTTGGCGTCTCCTTTGCCCGCTTCAAGAATGGCTTTTTTGACCGCGGCCAGAACTGCGTCAGCAGTTGAGGTGGATTCCAGGTCGATGACCTCCATATCTGCGCTTGTTCCAGACTGAGTCACAGAGGCTTGGACACCGGCGACTTTGTCAGTCAGAGCCTTTAGGAAGGGAGCCGCAGCTTCCCTTTACTTTATGCTCTTGCCCAGGTCTACCATGACATCGCCCCCTCTGGTCTTGCGGATCCCGTTGATTGTTGCCCCGTAGTCGTCAGGGTTGACGCCCGACTGCTGCAGGGACCTGACTGTGTCCTCGTAGGTGGCGCCCGCCGGGACTTTCACAATGAGTGCTGCGCTCCGGAGGGGGGGAAGCTTCCTCGGTGTGGGTTTCGGTGTAGGGAGTGAGGGAGTAAGTATAGACACCTGGAACATCATACTACAACCTACCTTACATATTAAATATATTATGTAAATCACCGGTAATTGGTAAAATGACTTATATTTGTGTAGTATTGTTAGTGTACGATATTATCAGCGTGATTTTTTTTAAGGAAATTGTAAAAAAGACATGTTCGGAGTGTATGGGAAAATGTTTTTTTTTTGTTTATACATTTATAATAATATTATGTATCAACATAATATTTAAACATTATTCACATATAATATACATATTACACTCACTATTACATTCTATAAATTATTTTAAATATAGAGGTATAACATGGGTATATACAGCTGTGCAAATCGCTGTTTTTATAGTTAAGCGAATAAACTGATTGCAAAAATCAACAAAATTTGACTACGAGTCAATCTTAATCTGGTTACACACGGAGCGGTTTAGCCGCGCGCGGACGCGGATTCTTTTTGAGACTGCGTCCGCGACCGCATCCGCGCCTTTTGTGGTTTATTGGAACTTTATATAAGTAGGTAGGTACCTAATACTCGTGAGTCGCCGTGACCTTCAGACAACGACGACGGTTCGTACAGAACATGTATTATAATTTAATAATTATTACAAAAATGACATAAATCAAAAGCTACGTACTATGTTATTAATAAATAATAACTAATGTCGTATAATGTTATATTATATACTACGCGATTACAATGACTGCATTATACGAAGCACCCGAATATATTGACGAGTTATATACGATCAAATGATACGTTTTATACCACATGGTTTTGGCATTTACTCGACCGCACAATAGGCATATAATTATCTGTAAGTAGCACACTGTACTGTATTTATGTATTGTCACAATATGTAGTTATATTTTAATATAATTACCTAATATATAACAATGTACAGACGGTATAACTGGTCTTATATAATCGATACACTCGGAAAACGATTCGGTATCATTTTCGATACTGACGAAAAACATGCACCACGTGCGACAGTGAGGTAGATGCGTCTAGATTCGGTAATTCATAGGATAAATCGGTTCGATCGAAAACATATTTTATCGGCGAATACTTGTTATACGGTCAGATTAATAAGACGATCGGTCGCATTGACATCCGGGACCGACTTTATTTACCTATATTACGCATCATGATCCAAGCACTAAAAACCATGACAAGTCGATGAATAATATTTTTAATTCGACGTCAGGAATGAAAATCCCCAATTATTAACTAACCCCCAAATTTATATCTTTTAACTTGAGCCTCATAAATAATAAAATATTTAACATCATGTAACAACTATAACAACAACAAAACAAACCTAACTATAGTACAATGTCACTAGGTATAATGGGAAGCAAAAAAACTTGTGAGTAGGAACTCACTCGTTAGCCTGTAACCCATGCACAACATGGCATAAGTAACCTTATTATCATAATAAAACCTATTGTGTTGATTTGTACAGATTGTGAATTTTAAATAAAGGAAAAAAAATAGGCGTTTTTTGGATGGATCACGTTTTGGAGATTAAAGCGTTTGAAGTTCAAATTTTGGCAATTTTAGTCAAAACCACAAAAATGTTAAATATTCATACAATTTTATATTTGAATATAATATGATGGTTCAACATTTAAAACAAGGTTTATCTTATAAAATTAATTCAAAAACTTCATTGTCATAATTATTTTTTTATACGTTGGATTTTCTAATTTTTACAAAATTGGATGTTAAAACATTAAAATTATTCTTTACTCAATCGATTTTAGCTTTTTTCTTGTAACTTAACAATTTTTGTAATTTTGTTGATAATCAAAAAATGATCAACCATAGAAATTTTGAACATTCCAACATAATTATAATAATTATATAAATTACCGTTTTCTACGAAATGTACATTGTAATTTTCAAAATATTTGAACAAATATCAAGCATTTTATAGGTACAATTAATATAAGAATATTACTTGTTCATAATATAGAATTTTTTAGGCTTGGTGAAAAAGCTTAAAATTTTGATACAAAATAATATTTTGTATGGAGATCTTGTAATAAAACAAAACAACAATATTATATTATATTAAATAATATGTATGCACCAACGTCAATCGGTCAAGCTCGATGGCAAGGAAACCCTGGAAAGGTTATCGCACTTCTAAAATTTAATTTGTCATTCCCGATACCGAGATCAGTTGTCACAACGTCGGTCGTCACAGCGTCTGATTACATATTCTGGCTATACTATGATAACTTTACTTACAATAATACTACAATTTAAAGTACCTATTTTGAGAATTTGTGTGCTAACGAGTAAGGAGTGACCATAACATTTGATGCCGAAGATTCTCAATAATTGTTTTTCTACTGTCGTCCAAGCTGTTTGAAGAGAAGTTTGTAATGTGTAATAATTGTTAAAATATTAAATGCACAGTACACTTTATACAAAAAGTATAGTCAAATACCTAGTTTACTATTTGAAATGCCTTCTGCTTGGGTACATACAAAATACCTTGATCAGTGTATCGTGTAATAACATAATAATTTTTAAATATACCTATATGTATATTATATAATTTTAATTCGTAAATAAGAAAAAAGAAAAATGGTTTTTATTGCCTAATTATTCGATTTATAAGAATGATTCCTATTGAAAAAAAATCCGACGCTATTGCACTACCTAAGTATATCTGTGAATGCTATGAAATAAATTTTTGGTTGCTGTACGAGGAATCTATATTCCTAATTTAGCTTCCGTAATTTACATTAAGTTATTCCACGGAAACATGTATTGTGCCCAAAATACAGTGATGTGAAGTCCTCTTGAGGGAGGTAGGTATAGTAGTTATCAATAAAAGGGTACCTAAACAATTTTGTATGGCTCCAAAAACTAAAATGATATCACTTAAACTTTTTCATAAATAAAAATCACATAAGTCTGATATTACCTGGTTATTTTAAGCCAGTTGAAAGACATTTTTCTAAAACCAATTTTAATTTTATGTTTTTTTTATTATCCTGAGCGGAGCGATGAATGCATTAATTTTACAATGATGTGTTTTATTCATTTTAATTTTTTTTTTGTGTCTGCAGTAATTTAATGCATATTATTAATGCAATAACAATAATAAAGCACTGTCAAGTTTTATGTTTCGCGGACGACATCAAGCTTTTTATGAAAATAAACTGCATTGAAGACAGTCTTAATCTACAAAGTGATTTAGATAGATTTGTTGCTCTTTTTGATAAATTAGGTTTGTCACTGAACCTAGGTAAGTGTAAAGCCATGACGTTTACTAGAACCCGCTCTCCATTAACGTTCTCCTATCATATCAATGAATCAATAATTTCTCGCTGTGATGGATTTACGATGGATCTTGGGTTCAAACTCTCCAGTAACCTTGACCCGGGCCTTCATATTGAAATGGCTTGTTGCAAAGCTCTAAGAATGTTGGGTATAATAATGAGATTGTCAAAGGACCTTAACCTAACTTCGTCATTGAAAGTTTTATACTGTTCGTTAGTCCGGCCAATTATTGAATATGGTGCCATTGTTTAGGATCCCCATACTGCCGACAATGCTTGCCAGGTCGAAAGGGTACAGCGCAGGTTCTTGCGATTTACAAGCTTCCTGTTAGGCATCAAATCTCCACCTCATGATTATTCCCCAGTTGCTATTCAGCTTAATCTAGCCTCGCTAGCAAGTTCTTGAATGGACTGTTAGATGGTAGTGTTGATTCCCCAACTTTACTATCCTTAATTAATTTTAAAGTACCCCAACGCTCCACCACTCATAACTTACTCACTAATCCTCGCATATCTTTTTAAGCTCCCTAATCCCTGCTAAATTATACAATATTATAAAGGTAAGCATGTGTTACGTTTTTTTTTTTTTTTTACATCTGAGAATAATTTTAATATACGGTGTCAACTGAAATCGCATGTCACTATGGTCGTTTATGTTATCCAATTCTTAAACGAAAACTGACCTTAATAAAATAATATCTATTATCTATATCACAAATAAATAAATATAATGTAGATATATTACGCTGTATTTCTGCTAGTTAAGAGATAATAATAATATTAACGGCCATTTTACAGATTATCACTTTTGTAAAAAAACTAATTCACGATAAGTGAATTCCGTAAGATGTTTTATAATTAATGATTCGCCGAGTACCATTATATTATTATTTATTTATTTATTTATTTATTTATTTATTGGAATATACGGGCTAGGCCCTTTTTTTACATAGAAAACTGGTAATAAAATGGTTTACAAAGAAAGAAAAGTAAATAGAAGAAGAAAAAAAAATAACAAAAAATAATAATATTAATAATATTAATAACAATAATATTAAAAATATACATATGCATTTAAATAATAATAAATATGACAGAGCTAATTAAAAGATAAAGTGGGGTCCAGATTGGCATTATGCATCATACGCCTTAAAGGCTCATTTAGTAAGTAGTTGGTGGAACAAAAAGGGACATGAAATGGAGTAATGGAGTGGGTGGAGCGACGTACGTTTCCCCAGCCCCCCACATATCAATTTTCCCAAATTTTCTTTTTCCAACATTTAGTACGTCATTTGTTTGTATTTGTTTGACCAAACTCAGAATTTGTTTGATGTCGGTTCCCCTTGGAAAATCGGTTTTCCGTGCGGGGGGCTGCAGAAACGTTTCCCCAGCCCCCCACCCCGTTAATTATTGACTTTTCCCAAATTTTCTTTTTCCAACATTTAGTACGTCATTTGTTTGTATTTGTTTGACCAAACTCAGAATTTGTTTGATGTCGGTTCCCCTTGGAAAATCGGTTTTCCGTGCGGGGGGCTGCAGAAACGTTTCCCCAGCCCCCCCACATAAGAAATAATGGACTTTCAGCGAATTTTTTTTTACCAATAATTATTAGTACGTTATTTGTTTGACCAAATTCACTATTCAGAATTTGTTTGATGTCAGCATGCCCCGGAAAATCAATTTTTAAAAACAGTATTTATATAATATCGATATATCTATATTATA